ATTCATTCAGAAGTTTATCCCTGTCTTCCTTCAGTTCTTTGATTTCTTTGTGTGTTCTTTAAACTCACTGAATTCTCTTAACATGTTTATAATTGTTCTTTTGAGTTCCATGTCCTGCATTATGTCTAGGGAGTTCTGATTGTACTCCTCTAGAGGAGTATTGGTATTTGGTGGGGATATGTTATTTTGTTTTTTCATGTTACTGTTTTTTCTCTGTGATTTTGACATGTGAATTTCTTTTGTAGTTTCTGATTCTTGTGTGAGACTCAAGCCTTCATGTTTAGGTCTGCTTATTTTTGTGAACTTTATGTGTCTTTGTAGTTTACTTTTTGGGCATGAAAGCTGGTTTCTCTAAGCTTTTGGTTCTCTCTTTTGATTTTATATTGGAGTGGCCTGATTGCTTTTGTCTTCAGGAGTTCCCACAGAGGCCCAAGATAGATGTGGATCAGATACTCTCAGGCTTTCTCCTAAGGTCTGGATCCCTCCAGGATAGATTTTGGCCTCAGGAATTTGGGTCTAGACTGGCCTTGGAGCCGGGCCCATGAAAGATGCTGGTCTAGGGAAGCTGGTGGCTATGCCACCCAGGGCCCAGGAAAGATGCTGGTCTAAGGAAGCTGGTGGCTATGCCACCCAGAGATGCAACGGAAGATAGGGTCAGCTGGTGGCCCCAAGGGCCCCTGGGGACTGCGCTGATGAGTTGGGTTCATCTGGATGCAAAGGACCTGGAAGAGGAAAGGTCAGCACTGGCGTCCAGGAAAGAGGCTGGTGGGTTGTGCAGACCCAGGGAGGCAGAGGGTAGTGAGGGAGGTGAGGGCAGGGCTAAGCCCAGAGCTCCCCTGAGGACTGGAGAAGGAACTGAGTTGGTCTGGATTCACAGGATCAGGAAGCAGTGGTGGTTCCCCAGGTGTCTGAGGTGCCAAGACAAGGAATGGGACAGGACCCAGGCTAGGAGGAGAGACTGGCATGGGAGATGGGAAGATGAGTGAGGCTGGGGGAATCAAGGCATGGAGGGCAGGATTGACTTACCCTGTAGAGAGAGGCCTGCAGGTTCTGCAGGCCCAAGGAAGCAGAGGTAGATGAGGGCGGGGCCAGGCTCAGAAGCAGTGCTCCTGAGGACCTGAGAAGGAACTGAATTGCTCTGGATGCAAAGGATCAGATAAAAGCAGTGGTGGTTCCCCAGGTATCTGGGGTGCCAAGACAAGGACTGGGACAGGACCCAGGCTAGGAGGAGTGACCCATGGTGCAGATGGGATAGTGAGTGAGGCTAGGGGAGTCAAGGCGCGGATGGCCCAATGGATTTACCCTGGCAAGAGAAGCCTGTGGTTTGGAGAGAGGCCTGCAGGTCCTGTAGGCCCAGGGAAGCAGAGAGCATACTTTAATATTTTCTGTCTTAATTTGCCAAATGCTAGACTATCCTAAGCTGGACTTGCTCTCATAGCAGTCCAACTGCCTCTGCCTCCAGAGTGCTGGGGTTAAAGGCATGTGCCGCTGCGCCTGGCTGGAACATTTATTGTTAGCTTCTTTTGGAATCACAGTTTTAAAAGCCAAATATACTTGTTAGAGCAGAAAAATAAGAATGATTTTGTGAATTTGATACGTTTCTTGTGATTTGGTTGGCTTTAAATTATTTGAATAAGATTTGTTAAAAGTATGTTAAATTTTTTACATAATTAAATTAATTTTATGTATTACTTTAAAACATTTGATTTTTTATATTAAAATAATTAAAATTTATTTTGGGAGATAAATGCATTTTTATAGATCCTTTCAATCTTTACCAGAAAACATCAGTTTAAGGTTAATTTGAATTAAAATGTTTTTAGTTATCTTATTCTAATAAACATTAAAACTTACAAAGAATAAATTTGATAAATAATTTTAGCAGTTTAAATATATAAGTCATTATGTGGAGAATTTTTGTAGTTTTTAAATTTAGCTCAGAATTTTAAATAAATTTCTAGGTTTTGCTCCTTGGTATTAGTGTTTTTAGTTGAAAAAAGTTTATCATGCCACTGAACATGTGTTGCACAAATGCTCAAGGTGTTAGATTTAAAATCAGGTTTAAATTGTTCTGATTTATATTTTTATCTTAGTGCTGTATGCTTATGACCCTGTTATTTTATTATCATACATTAAAATATCTAATGCTGTAAATTTACATTGGTTTTTAAAATATTTTAAAGTATTTAAGGTTAATAAAGTGGACTTGCCCATGGAAATGTCTTAACAAAGTACTGATTTTTTTGTACTTTGTTACAGAATTAAATGTAAATTTCAACCTTGTGAAATTCGAAGTGTAAGTTTCTCAAGAAATAGACAAATGGTAGTGGTTGTTTTGGTTAGACAAACTGTCTCAAGAATTTAAAGTGATGTTGTAAAATTGTGAACTATGTTTATAGTAAATCTACAAAACTGTTCAACCCCTGAACATGATGAGAACATTAAAGCAGGAACTAGGGTCAGTATGTTAGGAAAGCATGTTTTTTTGAAAACCATACTGCCAATCTAAAGTGAGAATTACTTTAAATGGAATTGTTTTGGGGGAAGGTCATTTATAAAATAACTGTCTGCCATTTCCTCTCAGAATCACCACAGTCTGCTAGAATCATCAGTGTTCTTAGAGTAGATCAGAGTCCTTTATCCCTATAATGTGTCCTTCAGTACCATCTATATTCATTTTTGATTATTATTACAGGGTACATGCTTGAGCCAGATCCAGAGTGCAGACCTGATATTTTTCAAGTGTCCTATTTTGCATTTAAATTTGCCAAAAAGGATTGTCCAGTCTCCAACATCAATGTAAGTAGATTTGCAAGTAGGCTATGATTTTAAAATCCATTTTATTGTGTATATATATATATGCTTTGAGAATGACTTGTTTCATGAAAAGTGGTCTTGATAGCATGTGTTTGTTATTGCTATTTTAGTATGGAGGTCATTTCCCAGGCTTTGCTGAGGTGCCCTGGAGAGATCCAGCAGATCTAGGATCACTGCAAGATAGTTTGCATTTTGGAGGGAAAGAATGATATATGTCAGTCACAGAGCACAGGCTATTACTACTAAGTGTTTAAACTTAAGCATATTAGGGTTTTTAATGTTAACAGCGTTATTAGTTTTCTTTTTTTTTTCTTTCTTTTTATTTTGCCAAGAGGTATGGTAAAACATTACTGAAGCAGACACTAAGCCCTATGTTAAGTGAAAGAACTTGAGAGCCTTTGGTGTAAGGCATTGTAATGGGAGAGACCTGAATTCATTTCTTTACCAGTGACTGATTTTATATCTTTGGGGAGGTTAATATCTTTTTTCTTCCTGTAAAACAAGGATAATAATCACAGGAATTACAGCTAAATACAATCCAGGGTCTAAACCATGAAAAGTACTCATTTGGGAATAACTAATTTCTTTCAAAGGTCTTGACTTCTAGTTGTTTCCTACACATTACATTAGCTGCTTCAGATGAACTGTGCATGGTAAATCTCTGCTAATTTTAAGAAAAGTCTCTAGAATCAGCATTATTTTAATCCATCCTCAACATTGTAAAGGTCATTTTGACCTAACTTGTTCTTACGTTTTCTTTATGTACAGCTTAATTGCCTACTTAGAAAAAGGAAGGAGTATGGTGTCCTTTTCCTTTTTTCTTTTCAAAGCCCTTACCGTGTCATCTTAACATTTTCTCTCTTGATGCCAAAATTCTGCTCTTCTAACCTTTTACTAAGGAAAGTACTGTATCTGGCATTTAACTGTGGATTTTTAGCTTTCTATTCAGCTGGTATTTATAGATTACTGTGAGCCAAACATGAGGCACAAACAAATGAGTACTCTTCTGCCCCTGTTTTCTAGATCTTACAGTGTCAGAAAAATTATATAGTATTTTGAAATATCCTGATTATTCTTGGTGTTTAATTTTTTTTCTGAAGTACAAAATAGTCATTGATTTACTGGTATGATATAGTCTTACTTTTCACCTAAGATTTTCCTGTAAGTAAATTGTATGCAATGATATTCTATTCATCTTCTGTAGATTTCTGTAGAACATCAGTATGAAGATGACATTTGGGTAACATATAGTGATATTTGCAGATCAGATCTGGGGAGTATACATGAACAATTTCTATGTATGCATAATGAAAATAGTGTCTTAGGCAGTGTTTTTAAAGTTTAATGGTGTATCTGTAGCTTGCTTACTGCAATTAAAAACTAAAATGAAAAGCGTTTTTTTTTTTTTTCTTTCAAGAATTCCCCTCTTCCTTCAGCTCTTCCTGAACCGATGACAGCGAGTGAAGCAGCTGCCAGGAAAAGCCACATGAAGGCCAGGTAGGCAAAGCTGTGCTGAAACAAAAAAGGTGCTTTATAAAAGAAAAAAAAAGCTATAGTTCTCATTTTAATTGTACAGTTCCCATTGATTAAACTTTATCCTCACCTGCCCAAATTGATAGTTGTTTAATGTAGACGATATAGTTTTGATAGCAGATATAAAATAAAATTTTAATATTTTTAATATTGAGTATAGGGTTTGACATTGATCTTACTTGAACTGGCCATTCCTGTCAATAAAGATGTGAATGTTTAACTGATGTTGAAGTGATGTGTGTAGTTGTCATCATTTTTATCACTGACAATGTTAATTTAGGAAAACTTAGGTTTGAATTCATAGCTAATAACTTCAAATATTAGGAAAGAAAACACTGTCAGGCTATTAGAAAGTGTGTATACTTTGTGAGATTTGTGTGTGGATATAACTAGAATACTTAAAATTGGTAAAAAATTAAGTTTGAATCCTTATTTTTCAGTTATGTACTGCATTGATAAGTTCGAAATGTATTATGTAGATTAAGACCTAAAATCTGGGGCTAGAGAGTTGGCTTAGCTGTTAGAACACACACTGGTCTTGTAGAGGACCTGAGTTTGGTTTCCTGCATCCTCTTTGGACAGCTCACAACTGACTGTAACTCCAGCTCCAGGGGATCCAGCACCCTCTTTTGACCACTGGACACCTGCATTCACATGCACATACCTCCTCTTAATTAAAAATAAATCTTAAAAAAAAAATAGACTAGACCTCAGGCTGGAGAGATGGCTCAGTGGTTAAGAGCACTGACTGAACTATAATGATAGTAGGACTATATCTTAGATTATTAGCCTGGTATGATATTGCATTTGGGGATGTTTCTTGGTCACAGCTTTTTGTATTCTATCTTTCTTACAGAAATTATTTCTTTTGACACAAGGAATACAATACTGTATCATATACCTTTTATATGCAGCCTGTAGGTAATGGAAACACAATGAAAAAGCAACCATCTTTATTTGCATGGAATGTGCACTCTTTGTGATAAACATTTCTCATGTGATAGGTATCAGGCTACTGTGATTGGGAAGGAAAGGAAAGACGGGAGTGGGGAAATTAGGAGCACAGAAGGAATGGGAGGGGAATTGCTGAATTCTTCCCTGGGTGAGCGTGAGCAGTCTGCCACTTGGAGCAGGGTGGGTGAGAATGAAGCTAAAGCAGACAGTTACTTTAGGTAAGAAAAGGCCCCTGTGAAACTACCAGGCTGGAATATAAAGGGGACGTACATAACACAGGAGTGGAAGGGGAATGAAGACTGAGCTGTCAGGAAATGTTGGTCAGGAGCAATTATCTGTATGTTGTGCTAGGAAATTTGGATTTGAGGCTTTGGTCTTTTCTAACCTCCTGTCAAGTCTGCTATCTGGGCCTTAGTTGTGAGATATTATAAGTGATGTTAACCTAAACATTGTTGAATTTTTATAAGTTAATGACTTAAAAAATAATACTCCACGGCTAGAGAGATGGCTCAGCAGTTAAGAGCACTGACTGCTCTTGTAGAGGACCCGGGTTCAATTCCCAGCACCCACATAGCGGCTACAAACCATCCTTAACTTCAGTTCCAGGGGAATCTGAAGCCCTCTTCTGACTTCTGCGGCATTGCACGACACCGGCGCACTCACATCCATGCAGGCAATACACTCATACACATAAAAATAGTAAAATATTAAAAAAATAATACTCCAAATATATCTTCATTCACTTGAATTTCTAAATGCTGTCTGAAAAAAAGAGATAAAAGAGTAAAGTCACAGCTGATTTTTCAGGAACCCAGCGTGGCCACCAGTCTGTTTTACCTAGGATATTGCTGCTTTAACTAGCAGCCATTGTTGTTAAGAATTATTGTAGCTGGGTGTGGGGGCACATGCCTTTAATTCCAGCACTTGTGAGGCAGAGGCAGGTGGATCTCTGTGAGTTCAAGGCTAGACTGGTCTACATAGTGAATTCCAGGCCAGTTGGGGCTACAGGAGACCCTGTCTCAAAAAGACCAAAAAATAAAAAAAAGAATTATTTTAACACTTCCTGAATTTTGTTTTTATACTTTGTCAGTAATTGCTGTTAGGAAGGTATGTACAGAAAAATGTGTCAACTGAATAAGAATGATTTGAATATCTTTTCATCATAATAAGTTATAGCTATACAGTTACAAGCAAATGAAATAGTGTGTAGGTAAAATAGGAAGTACTTAGCCTGTTTTAAGCATTATGACAGTATATGTGTGTATTAAAGTGTAGCATTGCACTTCACTAATAGGGACGGTTTTATGTTTTCTGTATATCAGTTAATTAAAATTATACTTATAAATTTATGAACTATAAATATAGTCTATTGGCACTCAGTGGTCATTAAAATAATCTTATTCTTTATTATCATTTATCTAAGTGGTACAAAGCTTAATATTAAATATGTTTGACTTTTTCAAGTAAACGCCGTCTTTTAGGTCAAGAAATCTTTTTTCCCTTTTCTTTCTTTAGCATGTGAAATAATGGATTTCATTATGACATTTTCATGCAGATATGCTTGTTGTTTGTTCATACCCCCATCCCACTACTACTGCCTCCCCTCATGCTAAAGAAATCTTTAAATAGTGCCTCTCTTTATTCAGAAAGCCTTCATTTTATGAGTATTGACCTCCTTCCCTGCCTCGAGTCTGTGGCACTGACAGCTTCACTTCTAAGACCCCCTTCTTCCCAAACACTGTGCATACTCTCAGGACTGCTTAAGATGGGAAAGTTACCTGATAGATAGGTCTTAAGGGTGGACATGTTGAGGGTCACTGCCCTTACAGTTGGAAACACAAGATTTTAAGCAGGAAACATGGAGTTGTAGAGGTGGTAGGAGTAGAGGAAGGAAGCAGGGTGGCTCTTGGGAGGCTGTGGGACAGCATAGTGAGGTGGTGCAGCACTGTCCAGGTGGAGATCATGATCTTCAGTCTTAGCTCATTTAAACCTCTACTTTACTGAATCTGTCAGGCATGTTCTTCATACAGGATGCTTAGTATTAGGTCTAGTGAAATAATCTTTATTTTAAAAGTTTAATCTTCAGTTCTTATCTGATCTTTATTATTCCCGTATGAAACTCTTGTCAGCCTCGTTTGTTTCTTATTACTTTACTGTTCCATAATCATTATTATTTCCATGAACGTGTGCCATAGCATCTTAAATATGGTGCCAGGTTCTTTAGAATAAGATGGCATGCAGTACTCTGCTGGATATCAGTATTGTACAATAGATAATGGTACATCGATAAGATAGGAGACATTCGATTCAAAGTCTTGATACTTTAATATTCTTTTTAGAGTGCCGCTATGCTCATGTGTATGGTGTATTCTCTAAAGAACAGACAGGAAACATGACAAAGTTAGGCCTGTAATGCTCACTTTTTAAAGAATTAATGGCATACAATATTACTTTCAGATTATTTGAGCTTTTGGAGTACGCCATTGCTTTTAGTGTCTGTCCCATAATTTAGACCCATGAGCAAATACTTGATTATAATTAAAATGAGTTATAAGTTATCTTTTATTATCTTTGTTTTAGGACTTGTATCACTCCCCTCCCATCCTGTGCCCATCAAGTGTTATTTTTAGAATATAACATGCATACACATATTTTTACAATTTTTTGAAAAAAAATTGCCTTTAGAAATTTTTTTACAATTTCATACAATTTTATAGCGTATTTTGATCCATGTGTACCCTCCATTACCCTTTCTTGTGTCCATTCCACCTCCCAACTAGCCGCCTTCTGTGCTTTCATGTCTAAGCATATGTGACCCATTGAGTTTAATTAGGTAACCAACCCCAATTTTCTGAAATCTGACACGTCTTTCCTTTCCAAAAGATAATTGTTAGGAGGGCTCCCTCTTGTGGTACATAGGGATATTATGAAAGTACTGTAGCTATGTACTGTTATAGGTCGGGTTTTCTGTAACTGCAGCAGCAGTTTGCTGTAAACTATGTGTGTAAAAATTTTAGGTATGAAATTCTTGAATCAATAAATTTTCTTTTCAACTTAAAAAATTTAGATATTGGGGGCTGGAGAGATGGCTCAGTGGTTAAGAGCACTGACTGCTCTTGCAGAGGACCTGGGTTTGATTCCCAACACCCACATAGTGGCTATGAACCATCCGTAATTCCAGTTCCAGGGGAATCTGAAGCCCTCTTCTGACCTCAGCAACATTGCACGACAGGAGTGTACTTACATACATGCAGACAATACACTCATACACATAAAATAAAAATAATAAAATAAAAAAATTTAGATATTAAATAATGAGAATATGCTAAGGGATGTTATTAAAGAGATATAGCAAACACTGAAGCTTTATACTGAAAACAAAGTTGAAAAAAATATAATTTAAAGATTTTACCTGGCTAATTGTCTTGAGAAATTAACTTTTTAAAAAAATATTTTATTATTTTTATTTTATGACTGTATTGCCTGCATGTATGTGAGTGCACCGGTGTCATGCAGTGCCGCAGAAGTCAGAAGAGGGCTTCAGATTCCCCTGGAGCTGGAGTTAAGGATGGTTCATAGCCTCCATGTGGGTGCTGGGAATCAAACCTGGGTCCTCTGCAAGAGCAATCAGCATTCTTTACCACTGAGCCATCTCTCCAGCCCCTGAAAAATCATCTTAAGTCTTCTCAATTATATTGCTTTCAAAATTGTGCTCACCATTTGATTATCTACATGTGGGGTTTAAACTAAGTCTTAGAGCAGAAATTTTATATAATTTCCATTTACTGTTCTGGATAAACAAATGAAAGAGTCAAGAACTTGGACACAATAGGCAGTCCTACCTGGTAAAAGTGTTGACTTTTGTTTTACATGTGGTAGGGGTTACAGTACAGGTTTCTCTTTTTCATGCTTTGAGTTTAAGCCAGGGGATGGACGGACAGACAGTCCCTCCCTCCCACCCTCCCTCCCTTCTCTTTCCCTCCTCTTTCCCTCTCCCCTTCTCTCCCCTCCTTCTTTCCAAGCTGGCTTTCAGCTTTGTCCAAAATCTTATAAGGTTTCTGTTTGTGTCCTCTCAACCTCATTTCATCTCTTTAACAGTAATCTTTTGGAGTATTTATCTGCCAGCTTCAAAGGCAGACCAGGAACAACAGAGTACTGCTTGAAGGAATGTGTCTGACTTTATTTTCTACTTTCCTGTGTTCATTAAACAGGGACTATGAGAGTGAGACTTAGGAAGCCAAAAGACTAATGTGATCATCTGTTTTAATTAAACAGACCTGTATTTTGTAGTCTATAGACAGAATAGCAAAGTAAAAATAATCTCAATATTTGGAATGAAATATAATTTTTCTATTATAGAATAACAGACACCATTGGACCAACAGAAACCTCAATTGCACCAAGGCAAAGACCAAAGGCCAACTCCACTACCACCACTCCCAGTATGCTGACCATTCAAAGTTCAGCAACACCTGTTAAAGTCCCTGTTCCTATTGAATTCAGTAACCACAGACCAAAAGGTAATTAGCCCTTGCAAGTCGGATCTTTTCATAGTGCAGATAAACTGTCTAGTTTAATTTCCTAGGGGTATAAATTACCAGCAGACTTAAGAAACAGGGTTGGTGGGGCTGGAGAGATGGTTCAGACGTTAAGAGCACTGACTGTGCTTGCAAGAGGATCCAGGCTTGGTTCCTAGCACCCACAGATCAGCTACCATCTGTCTGTAAGTCCAGTTCCAAGGGATCTGACACCGTCTTCTGACCTTTGTGGGCATTGTATGTGTGGGTGTGTGAAGATGCATGCAGGCAAAACACTAACACACATAAAATATTTTTTTTTGGAAAAAATAAAGGGAGAAAGAAACAGTTGGGAAGATGGATCAATGAGTACTTGCTGTGCAAGGATGAGGACTTCAGCTCAGAACTTCAGCACCCACACTGATAACAGTTGGGCATAGCAGTGGATGCCTATAGTCAGGGAGTAGGAAGTGGAGACAAGTGGCTCTTGGATTTGCTAGACAATCTAACTGAAAACACAGGCTCCAGGCTTAGTGAGAGATCTTTTTTTCTCAAAAAGTAAGGTGGAGAAATAAGATTGAAAAAGACATCCTGACATCAGCCTTTGGCTTCCAGATGTGTCTGTGTGGGCAAGTATACCTTCGCACACGCACACACACACACATACACAGACAGACACCCCTAGGAAACTGTCCAGTTGTGTCTGTGTGGGTAAGTATACCTAGGAAACTGTGTAGATGTATCTGGGGCAAGTACACCTGTATAAACCCCAGCCATGCCCCCCCCCCCGCCAAATGGTCAACCGATGTCTAATAAGCTGCACTTTCCTAAAGTTTTTTTAAAGGCAAAGGAAAGTTATTGGTAGTATAAAAGTATACAGAGGGATGACTGTTCGGGGGAAAGTGAGGAAAGGGAGAAAAATAATAACTTAGGTGGTTTAAAAATAAAGGCAAATGCATTATTTCATAAGCCTACTGAAAAATATAAATGTGAATGCATGGGTTTAGCTGAAGGCGATATAACAAAACCCACAGTGCCAGGCAAGGCAAATCTCCCTTTGAGTTGTTAGTCAGGAAACCCAAGAGACTTGCAAAATAATATATAGGCTACTGCCATAACCTTAACTGCTGAGTCATCTCTTCAGGACCCCCCCCCCCCCGCCCGCCTTTTTTAAAAAAGCTTTTGTGAATGGGATTTTAATCCTGATTTCTTTCTTGGAAGGTTCATTATAGAAATGCTACTGGTTTTTACATGTTGACGTTGTATCTTGCTACTGTGCTGAAAGTGTTTACAGAATTTTTCAGTGGATTTTTTAGAATCCTTTGGTGGTAAAGTTTTAATAGTTTAATATTTTTTTATTTCCTGTAGCTAGGGTTGTAATCTTTGGAATTTATCTTAGGGTAAATTGTAAAAAAAGAATTAACTTCAGTTTTTTTCAGTGTCATTTAGTAAATAATTGTATTACTGTGCATTCTTTGTCTCCTGATTTGCAAGTCCACATTTATCGTAAGCTAACTGTCAATATTGTTGCTTCTTTACTTTGCATTCTGTGCCAATGAATTTTCATTCTTATATATCTTCATAGATTTATAGTTTTGATGGATCTGAGGAGACAGACTACCATCTTTGCCAAAATTTTTTCTTTATAATATAATTTCAGAGGAAGCACCTGAAGTTCCATAAAATAAATTTTAAATTGGGTTATTTTGAGTGCAGTAACATACTAGATTTGAGGAAAATTTGCATGCTTTGATTTTTGATCATTCCACTCAACCTTATTAAATTCTTATACTACTTCAGGTAAGTTTTCAGCTGCTTTTCATGGATTTTTTAATAATAAGGATAATTTGCCTTTATAAATATTCATAACACTTAATGGTTATTGTGTGACTGCATTGTCCAGATTACGGTGTCTTATTGTGTGTGCTTGACATAAAGTGCGCTTTCGGTTCTCAAAGGTAAATAAGGCAACATTCTACTTCTCAGGTCCTGGGTTAGAAAATAGCTATGTAAGCAATATATGTTAGATGAAGGAACAGGAAAGATATATGATCTAAACTTTGAAGAATGAGAATTTCAGTAGATGGAAATACCTATGCATAATGAATAGTGCATGAACACAGTTGAAATATGCAGAACAAGTTGATGTGGCTGACATGTTCATAGGAAGATGAAGTCTGACATATGATACATTTCTAAGATGTTAGAGTTTTGATGACAAATTTAAAATTTCCTGGGCAGTTATAGTAAATACTTGCTCTAGACTATATGCATTTAGAAGTCTATTACAAAATAATATAAATGACTTTGAAATCTAGCCATCTTATTGAAATCATTAGTATGTTAACATAAGCTTTTGGAAATACAGGACCCCTGAGACCTGAAAATAGCCCTGAAATGTTGCTGAGTCAGGCGCCCCTTCAGCATCCACCACAGCAGCATCGAGTACTCCAGCAATTGCAGCAGGGAGACTGGAGATTGCAGCAGCTTCATTTGCAGCATCGTCCGCAGCAGCAGCAGCAATTGCTTCAAGATGCTTATTTGCAGCAGGTAGTATTTTTGTTACTTTAGGTAGGGAAGTAGTATTGTGAAATTCACTTTTACATTATAGGCCCCTTGAACTAGAGTCAAGTAAACATTTTTCTCAGTTTCTTGACCACTGAAGAAGAGGTAATTAATATGCATTTGATGCTAAACTCTGTTAAAATGCATGCAACATGGCCTTAGGAAGCAGTGTTCGTCTAGTCATTTCATATTTAGGAATAAGCACTGAAATTTAGAACTGTTACATTTTGAGTTCAAAGACTAGTGCTATTGTGGAAAAGTGATACGAGTGTTTTCAAAAGTATCAATTGTCTTGGCTATTTGTTCTTTTTGCTTTTCCTTATTTTGTCTGGGTTGGTGTGACGGCAAGAGGAAGGAAGCATTTAGCATTGGAAGTGACATGGGATAAATGTCACTTTGTCCTTTGCCTCTTAGGAATCTGCAAATTTCCACTTGCACCAAACTTCTAAAAGGAACTGTTGTTAGCGTCATCATTTTATCATTGCCTGAAATATTTAGGGGCAGTTTTATAATTGTATACATGATATCTTTTATTGTGTCACCTTTCTCCAACATATTGGTTGATGCAGACAGAATGGAGGGTAGTAAGCAGTGGCTTGAAATGGCCAGAAGACACCACTGAAGGAGAGAGAGGGAAGTAGAGATTTACCACAGTGAGTCAGAGGTCACTGTAGGGTGTCTTTATCACTAGGAAAAGGTGATGAAAATGTTTAGGATTGGCTTTCTTCCAATCATTCTTAAACCCTTAAACCGTGGTAAATGTGGTTTTGGTGGAAACTCAGTTTTATTAATTATTCCCTTTGCAAGTAGTTCTGATAAGCATATATAAAGTTACAATCACAGACTATAGCTGTTGTATATTTGTTGACTGATTTAAAAAATGACTACTCATTTTTGAAATCATTGTTATGGTAAGATCAATGCTTCCAACAAAGAATGCTGGCGTAAAGGTGTGAAGAATATTGACTCTTGCTTCTTTTCTTTCACTCCAGTATCAGCATGCAGTACAGCAGCAGCAGGTACTTCAGCAGCAATTTCTAATGCATTCAGTCTGTCAACCACAACTTCATGCATCACAGTATCCTCCAATGGTAAGTGCTTATAACTTCTAGACTTTCTCGAGGTTTGATTTCTGTGTCGGAATTCATAGTATGAATGATAGTTTTTAGAATTTCATAATTCAAAAATTCAGGAGCTGGGGAGATGGGTCAGCCAGAAAAGTACTTGCTATTCAAGCATGAGGACCTAAGTTCTACCCTCACCATCCATGCAGAAAGCTGAGGTAGCACCATACACCTGCAGTCCTGGCACTGGGGATGTGGAGATGTGGCTTGCTGGCTGGTCAACTTAGCCAGATCACTAAGTTCCAGTTCAGTGAGAGATTCTGTCTCAAAGATTAAGGTGGAAAGTGATGAAAGAAGATACCCAATGACAAACTGTCTTCCACACACGTTGTACACACATACATATGCACCCGCATACATATATGCACACATACACATAAATAATTCAGGTTATTTAAGGAGTCTAGAGAGATGGCTCAGTTGATAAAATGTTGGCTATGCAAATAAGAGCATGTGAGTTCAGATCTCCAGCCCCCATGTTAAAAGCTGGGTGCCAGCAGCATGTCTTTATAACCCTAGCACTGGGGAGATAGGAACAGGCAGATCCCTTTAGCTCATTGGTCAGCCAGTCTAGCCAAATTGATGTGTTCCAGGCTCTGTGAGAGACATTGTCTCAAAAAATAAGTTGGAGATTGGGAAAAATATCCCGTCTTGACCTTGGCTTCCATGTGAATGTTTGCCCCCTCCTCTCCCCATGTACACACATACAATTTTTTTAAAAATTATTTTCTTAACATATATATATATATATATATATATATATATTTTTTGTTGTTGTTGTTGTTTTGAGACAGTCTCCCTGTAGCCTCAGTTGGCCTAGAACTCACTATATTATGTAGACTAAGCGGGCTTCAATCCAATTGGATCTGCCTCCCTAGTCGGCCTCTGTCTCCCTAGTGCTGGAATGAGAATCATGTGCCACCATGCCCAGCTGTTTGACATGTTCTTTATTGAAGGCAGACATACACTCTCAAGCCAAGGCAACTAAATATGATACATTGTAGTTGTCTGATCATACATTTCTGCACAGTCTTTTGCCATAAATCTCTTATTCAGCAAACATCTGTTGAGTAAAAATGCAACCTGAAAGAATTGTGTCAATGCATTTGCTTCAGACAATAGTTTGACCATTTTTTATGTTATTTTATAGGAACCAGTCAGTATACTAATGACTCTAAGCTACTCACTTGCCTTTTTCTTAAAAGTATTGAAAGGATTTTTGAATCTGGCTCAGTGAGTCTAGCTTTATAACTTCTCCATTTTAATTCATCCTATTGTAGTTTTCTAGCAACAGCTGCTTCTTCAAATATCCATTGTTTTCCAGGTGTCTGGTTTTGTCACCAGTGGATGTAGAAGAGAAGGAGCATAGTGCTTAGAGTGATGCGGCAGTACTGAAGTGCTTGAATGTAGATTGTGAACTGTTGTTTCTTGTTTCAGATGCAGCATTATCAGCAGGCTTTCCCGCAACAGCAGATGCTAGCTCAACATCAGCAGCCTCAACAGCAGGCATCTCCTGAGTATCTTACCTCTCCGCAAGAGTGCTCGCCAGCCTTAGTTTCCTATGCTTCATCACTTCCAGCTCAGGTTGGAACCATAGTGGACTCCTCTAATAGTGCCAGTAGGCAAGTATTTTTCTAGTTAATGCAAAGGAAATTACTGTGGAAATGGATTGAATCGATGAGTAGAGGCATTAGTGATTGATTCACAATTTTTCTTTTCCTAGTCCTTTCTTTTGTGCATCTCCATCCTTTCTATTGCCATCAATCAGTTCTAATTACTATTTGCAGATAAGGTTTAGCAACATGTAAAGGCATTCAGGCTAAGGAATTTATTGGTATGCATGTAAAAGTATTCTTTGTAATTTAAGTAGAAAGCTTTAGTAGCTGAAAATAAATAATCCTTATAGACAAGTTAACTTTCCTACTTATGTATTTCTACTTTCTATTAATTTGACTATTCATAAAGTTTGTATAATTTGATTTGATTTATACAGGAACAAAAAATTAAGTATATAATATCAGCAATCTATTTTTGGCATACTTGAATTTTGGCTATTTAGATATATTGGTTAATAGAATTACTTTATTGAGATGTATTTAAGCTTGTATCTTCTCTTAAAAGCTAAGAAGCCTAAATAGAACTGGTGGTCTCAGGCTTGCCTATAGATTCTTTAATGGTATATTAAATTGACTATAGATACATGAATGATATATTATGTATATATAAAATAACCCTTATTTAACTTTGCTTTTTGGGGAGCAGGGGGATAGGATCTGATTATATAGCCCTGGCTGGCCTGGAACTTGCTATGTAGACCAGGCTGGACTTGAACTCACAAAGATCCACCTGCCTCTGCCTCCTAAGTGTTGGAATTAAAGGTGTGCACCACACACCTGGCCTTAACTTAGTTTATTTATAAAGCAATCCTAGCAGTTCATCTTTTGTTGGTAGCTATAGGAAGGGAGTATCATTTTCAAAAGTAAAATTTGTCTGGTGTCTCCATGTAACTAGGAAATCAGGTCATTGTATGGTATTCAGTAGTGGTTTTAGAGTGATACTGTTTGGTATAGTGATGGATTTCACTTTGATGCCCTCATTGTGAGACTTAACAGCTGGTATTTATCAAGGCTTTTTTTTTTTAAAAACAACAACGACAACAAAACCACAGACTGTTCTTGCTTTACATTTAAATTACTCTCTTAAGTAACCCTGTGAGGTTGATAACTGTCACTTCTTTCTTATGGATGAGGAAGTTGAGGAATAAGGGCTTAAGGAACATACCCAGTATACTTTATATAGATGGTTATAGATTAGTGTGCCTCATGATGGTGGTTCATGTTCCAAGTGTTCTTTCTGTCCATCCTGTACCTGTAATCTGCCACCTGTGCAGATGAATACAGACCAGTAAAATGGTCTGCTTTCCTAAGAATTTTTAAAGTGAGGTGGGGCATTGAAAAGTTTCCTTAATTGTAATTTTTTTCTCAGTTTCTTTCTTTTGTCAATTATACTAGGTCAGTTGCTGAGAAAGAGGCAGTTGCAAATTTTACACATCAGAAGAACATCAGTCACCCACCTGATATGTCAGGGTGGAATCCTTTTGGAGAAGATAATTTTTCCAAGTTAACGGAAGAAGAACTGTTGGACAGAGAATTTGACCTTCTAAGATCAAGTAAGGGACACTTGAAGGCTTATTTTGCTTCACAGTAAAATAAAAGCTCTATAATTATTCAGAAAGGCCAAAGACAGTATTGAGCTGGTGTAAAGAAAGTTCTTTTTGTGCATTTAAGGGCAAAATTCAGGCCATCCTTTTTCATATACTATCAGACTATGTTCTGTCATGCATTAGAAATTAATTGCTTGATGATAACTATTAAACCCAAGATTGCTGATAGTATACTGATATCTTACCCTCAGAACTACTTATCTATAAATGTTAAATTCAAATTTTCTCCAAACCATGGAAGATTAATGTTCAAATAAAAAGGGAGACATTAATTAGTACCTTGCCTTATGAATCATTTTGCAGCTCTGTTTTCTTGCACACTCAGAAAATATTGTGTGTCTGAGACGCTCTTTGAAAATGCCTGAAGGAAAACACAGGCTACTACATTATGTTAATGTTTTGTCTTGCCCTTTTAATAAGTGGTGACATAAAAGGGCTGCTTTATTGTCCTGATATGGCCAAAGTTAAATACATTCTTTTTCACTTTAAATCTGATATTCCAGTGTTTTTACTTGGAACCATTATCTTTTCTGAAACTACCTAATATATCTGTCAAGCCTTGCCATATATATTTTAAAAGTGTTCTTTTTTGGAAGAAGGATGTGAGATGTTTTGAGTTTAGAATATTAAGAGCCAAAGCTCATTTTTGGAATACATAGGTAATTTTGTAGTTTCTGATGCTTATGTGTATGTATGTGCATGTATATGTCGTCAGTATGCACATACACAACTGTGTTTCCTCCTTTTGCATCTGAAGAGAAAGGTCTAACAAATATCCCTCAGTTTCTAATTTCTGTTTTATTTAGGTAACTAGCATTATGAACACATTTAGTAGATGAATTGCTCTTTCTGAATTAGTATATATTTTATGTAAAATTTGCAAATGGCCTGTATTCATGTAAGGCATTTATGTTTGACATCTAAATTTGTGTTTTGCATATTGGCGATTAAATACGGATATAAAATGAGTTCCAAGCCCATAATAAAGATTTGTTAACTTTGGTAAAAATCAAACTTACATCACATTAAAAAATTTTAAACCACAACATTTTTGTTTGGCATTTTTCCTGGAGTTTGTTAAATAGCTGCAAAAGCACAGTTTAAATAGATGCTCTCTTTTAGAAGGACAGGACAGTAAAGGGAGATATAGGAGGTACTCAAATAATTGTGATTTACAGGATTATTTGAATTTTTACATGTGTATGAAGAGAGAGAGAGAGAGTGTGTGTGTGTGTGTGTGTGTGTGTGCCCCGCACATGTTCGCAGGTGTATGGGACATACGTATGTGGATGTGCATGCACATGTGTGTATGTTTGTGGAGCTCCAAAGTTAGGAGTCTTTCATTGATTTCCATCTTATTCTTTGAGGCAGAGTCTCTCACTTAAACCGAGAAGTCAACAATATAGCTAATCTAGATAGCCAGGTGGAATGGGAATCTTTTGTCTCTATCTTCTGAGCACTGGAATTACAGGAGGGCACTATACCCATATTGCATTTACAATGGGAATCTGAAATCTGGTCCTCATGCTTCTGGGATAAATACTTCAACCACTGACCCATTTCTGCAATCCAGGATTATTTTAAAAGTAGAAGGCACCAATTTTAATGTGCTCCTGCTCTGACAAGAGTTTACTAAATAAATACTTTTGATTTTTTAAGTTAAAAATACTTTTTTTTCTTTAAAAAGTCAACTGAGGGAGTAGTAAAGGATTTAATTAGTTTGCATTTTATAAAATGTGCTATTTGTTTTATTTGACATAGGCAGAAAGGGTATGTGAACATGCCTGCATGTATAATTTCATCAAAATTAGGTTTATCTCTTAAAAGTGTGAAACTATTTTTAAACTTTAAAATCAGGTAGTGTGTATGGCTTGGATATGTATTTGTGCACCTGTGTGTACCAAAGACAGTTCAGACTTCATTGCAGTATTAATTATAGAAAGATGCTAGGTTCCAAATAAAAGTGCAGGGACAACTTTATCTGCCGGTCAGACTTGGAATGACCTCTGTCATTTGAAAACCATCTTAGAGCCCCGGAGCTATAGGTATTGCTACCAGGCCTTTGGTACTTACTTCAGCATGTAGCAGCAGAAAACATGAATTCTGACCCCCGATGATGGCAACTCATGGAAACGTAGTGCCGTTAAAGTCACTTAGTTGCTGTTAAGTCTCATCTCCACCTTCCCCCCCACACCCCACCCCCCCCAAACCATAAACTGGGATAGATGGAGCTGTACCTCATGGGAGCTGTCAGGAAAACTAAACGAAGTGATTATCTCAGAAAGTCTGGACATAGGACATGAATGCCACCACCCTTTCCTCATTGTTTGGATGCAGCTTAGGCTTTAACTGAAGAGGTTTGACCATTAGCTGGTATTAAAGAATTACATTTAGATTACCAAGTTTCTTGGTAAGTTAAAATCAAATTAGAAAGAGCTTTGAGAGCAAGCATGTCTATAGCAGATGGGACAAATGACAGCAAGGAAACAGGTGGTAAAGTATTCCATTCCCTTAGTATTTAGTAGTCACTGCATTGGAATTAGAAGAGGTAGCATCTGACAGTTAAAACTATTCTGATAGGCAAAGACCTCTTCCAGAACCTTAATTTCAGTAGAAGGCTATACTAACACAGAGAAGCTTGATGGCTGCTCATTATTGGTTGGTTCTTCTGTTCCCAACTTTTTCCAAAATGGAGAAATTATTGATGCATTTGAAATGCCAAATCAAATATTTGTACCTTTAGTTCTTGGCACAAATACTTAAGAGTTTTTCAAAATTGTTTCTGAAATTACATAATCTGCTTAGTGAAGTGCTTTCTGGGAGACATGGAAAATCTCCCCTTGGTTGCTGAGGCGCCACTGGTCTGTGTAGCACTGTAACGGCTGCAGCGCGGCTGATGAGAAGCTGCCGTGCACTTATGGTTTTACCGTTAACATGGTTCATGGTTGTTTTTTAATAGAAAAGGTTATGTTGTCTAAAAATATATAGCTTGTATGTTTTGTGTGGAAAATAATTCTAAAATCCTTTATTTTGAGATATTAAAATTAAAATAATTGATAACTTTTTTAGTACTTTTTAGAAAAGCCTATGACAGGCATTAGACATATGAAATGAACTACTGTTTTTTTTCTTTCAGTGTAAATGAGTATAATTCATAGTTCAGAATCTTTCACTGGTTCTTATTTAAATCCAATACATTAAACCAAGATTAAACATTAGTAATAAAGCTTATCTCAATGATATATATGTATTTTTAATTGAGCTTACTGGCATTGTCTTAATATTTACTATTGTTTAATAGTAATTGGTATGCCAGGTGTTTTGGGGAAAATTTCAACTTACATTTGTTTAGATAGTTGTATGCTTGTAAATGTTAATTAAGAAGAATAATGAGTCTTTTTGTTGGCAATAGACTCATTGTTTTCTGTTTAAAATTTTGTCAAAATAACTAAAAGGACGGACAGGACAGTGAAGACTGGTTGCCTTGCAAGTCTACTGAATGTGTTGTTTATTTAAGAAGACAGAATAAAATAGATGTAAATGTCAGAATCTAATTTATGGCAAAACATTAATAATCACTCTTTTCCTAAAGCTCCTTTAGACCTATGTCTTTAATTCAGAGTACAATTTTTCAGGCATATTAGAACAGTTCCACAAGTATCAGATGAATACTTTTAAAACCCTGTTCATTGCTAAGCATGATACTGTACACCTTTAATTCCAGCTTTCAGGAGGCAGAGGCGGGTAAATCTCTTAGTTCTAGGCCAGCCTGGTCTATGTAGTGAGACCCTGTCTAAACCAAAAACCAAACAAAACCAAACAAACATAACAAAATACTCAGTTTATTATTATTATTTATTCTTATTTATCTTTGGTCTTTGAGATCACTTCCCCCTTAACCAGAAGAATTAGCACTTTATAGTATTTTAATTATATTGTGATATTATGGGAAATACTTTGCTTCCAGGATTTTTAAATCTAGCAATCTCACCATCTGAAAAGAATCTTTTTTTTGGTCAACCAGCACAGTTATTGTGGTAAAGCAGGATGAGGTAAGTTTCTTACATTGGGCCTGTCAAACTCCGGCTTTGTTCTAATCTAAATAAAACCATTCATTTGAAACTTACTTAGACGTTAAGAGTAACTGTATGTTTCAGATATAGCTCCACATAAGGATTTTGTTTTTATCACTACATAATTGTTTAAGAAAGTGTGTATTTATTTTATATTTTGTGTTCTGATTATGTGATTTTTATAAAAATGATTTAAAAATGTTCCATTAAAATTTAGTCTGTTTTGTGGAACAATGACAACATGGTTCATTTTGTTATAAATTTATTCTGATTTCTGTTTTAAAGTAATTGAGCAAATACATTTTACATAAAGCAGTATTCTGTGTTTTTACCCTTGGAGACCTCTATATAGCAATTAGCTTACACCCCACATCAAGTTTCTGCCTTTGTCATGACTACACGGTACTGTGTATAATATTTACCACGGTTTACTAGATTGACGGAGATAATGTATTAAGTGAGTAAGAGCTCAAAGAGCTTAGCAGTCATTTTACAGTTTCAGAAGCTGGGGAACCATTGTTATAATAGTGTTTTATAAAATTGGAGACTATTAAGATGGGAATTCCGTGGTGGCACATGTCTTTAACCCAGTGCTCGGAGGCATAGGCAGGCAGATCTCTGTGAGTTCAAGGCCAGTCTGGTTTACATAGTGAGTCTGGGGCTACAGGGAAACCCTGTCTCTGGAGAAAAAAAAAAAAAAAAAAATGGATTCCCAAATTTGTACTTAGATCATCTGATTCATTAAGTTGTTTGACAGGGCAAGTAACTGTTTTGTACTAGACTCTTGACAATTAATGAATAAGGCTCTTCTAACTCAGAATTAAGTCTCTACATACTCTTAGTCTTGATTTTTAAGAATGAGGGCTCCTAGATATTACTATTGTGGTTCTCACTCTGAGTTAGCCTCCCATTTGTCTTTCTACTTCCCTATTTCCTTTGTCCATACTGTTTTACACAACAGCATCTAGAAACTATGGAAGAGTGGGGAATCTAGAAGGACTCAGTGTGCAATCCCTGGTTTACAGTACCTGTAAGTATACTCAGGACCTGACCAAATAGATGTCCACAAATCATCTGTATGACACAGAATCTTAGGGCTGTCTTTAACATGTCATCGTGGCTCCCACCACAATACGTTAGGAATCCTTCATCATATAAATTGGTCTCTGTCTTTATTTTTACAGAATGATGTTATGAAACTAGCCTCTCCTTAATAGGTGTTTTAGCAACAAGGTCTGGAAAAGTATTTTAGGTGCAATGACCATTTATTACTGATTTCCTGAATTAAATATGAATTTATTGTTAGAAAATAGCATCTAATAGAAAATTTCACTGTTATCAATCCATTTGACTATTGCAATTGAAATGTAGAGGTTAACTTTAAGAAGTTTTGTGTGTTCCAAAATCATTTGTCATATATATTTACTCACTATCAGTGTCTGAACAAAATATTGTCAATAAAATGTAAACAATCCAGTTTTATGTGAATGTTGTACAGTTTGTCTTGGTTATAAAAATCTGGTAATTGACCGGGTGTGGTGATGAACGCCTTTAATCCCAGCACTTGGGAGGCAGAGGCAGGCGGATCTCTGT